CGAGCGCAGCGCGCGGCGCTCACCGGGGTCCGGGCGAGCCCCGAGCGCCTCGGACCAATCCAAAGCGATTATGCAAGACGGCGGACCAATCAGCTCCGCCGGCTCATGAATATTCATAGGCTTGGCTGAGTCAAAGCTTTTAGGCGAGTTTGTGTAGATCTCCAGCATCATGCCTAGACTTTTCAAAGAGACAAACTCCATTTTCTTATGAATGGAAAGTGAAAAACCCTGTTCCGCTTAAATTGGGTTCTTTCCTGTCCTGAGAAACACAACAGACCCCAAAAAGGCAAGCTGAAGAGGGAGCACACACACAGAGCAAGCGACAAGAAATGACCATGACCACCATGCCAGAGAGTCTAAATAGCCCCGTCTCGGGGAAGGCCGTCTTTATGGAGTTTGGGCCGCCCAGCCAGCAAATGTCTCCTTCTCCCATGTCCCACGGACACTATTCCATGCACTGTTTACACTCCACGGGCCACTCTCAGCCCGACAGCTCGTACAGCACAGCTTCGTCCTTCTCCCGACCGCTGGGCTACCCCTATGTGAACTCGGTCAGCAGCCACTCGAGCAACCCCTACATCAGTTCAGTGCAGTCCTACCCCAACAGCTCCAGCCTGGCTCAGACCCGGTTAGAGGAGACAGGTAGGTGCTCTCGGTTTGGGGAGGGGGCGTGGGGGAGGGGAGGTGAGGGAAGGGGAAGCAAGGAGGGAGGGAGGGTGCTTGTTGTATCAAAAGGAAAAAAAAATCGGTCTGGGGGGCAAAAATTAAATTAAATTGCAAAAAAAATGTTAGCCAGGAGAGGCTGAGAAGTGCAGTTTCCAGAGCACACAATGCCCGGCTGGAAAAAATATCAACCCAGATGTGCACGTATTAGTCTTCGTAATTATTTATTGCGTAGGGCTATAAACAATGTATGCAATTAAGGGTAATTAAACCTAAACTGCAGCCTGTAAAAATAGCAAACTTTCCCTGGAAGAAGCCTGGGCTGCCATAATCGCCAGGCGCCTTTGTTAGCGGTTCTCGGGCTTCACTTTCCTCCCTTCTCATTACTGTTATTGTTGATGTTGCTGCTGTTATTATCGCTCTTGCTCCTGCTATTACTGTTACTGCTATTATTACTACTGCTTCTGTTATTATTATTTATTGTGCATCGTTTGTGGTTGTAGGGGCCGAATCGGAGAAAAGCACTGTGGTAGAAGGAGGGGAAGTTCGCTTTAATGGGAAAGGGAAAAAAATCCGCAAACCCAGGACTATTTATTCCAGTTTGCAGCTGCAGGCTTTGAACAGGAGGTTCCAGCAAACTCAGTACCTGGCTCTGCCTGAAAGAGCCGAGCTCGCAGCCTCTCTGGGACTCACCCAGACCCAGGTACGGCCCTTTCGCTTTGCCTCGTCCCTCGCCCTCGGTTTCCTCGCGGGAGCGGCCTGAACGGTGGGGCCACGCGTGTCCGCGGGCGGCC